TGTGTGTGTGTGTCCTCTTGAGCCGAACTGCCATATTAAAAATAACAGAATAGCAGGGGAACCTGTGTCTTGAGGTACTCAGTTATGTATGCTGGAAGTCTCTGAATGCTATATAATTCTACAGATTGGGTGAATGAAAAGTTCCACAGCAGGCTCCAATTACTATAATGTAATTATCAACATTTATATGTACCTGTATCTTTCTCTCCAGTGGAAAAAGGAAAATGTATGATGTCATCCAAGAGACCATCACATATGACTTTCCACCCCTTGTAGCCAAAATCCTTGGTTATTTGACAAATCCAGGACTGATCATGACGGCAATTCTACTTATGGTGTAAGTTACTGTGTCTTTAAAAGAAGGCTGATGACCTAAAAACTAAGGAGATTTCAGCAAGATATTTTAGATTATTACGTTTAAAAATTAATCAGTTTCACTGTAATATAAAAGGTACAACTGTGTCCATCTTTTAAGTAAAACTGTATCTTCATAAATGGATTATCACTTTCTTTCCTGAGACATCTCTCCTTTATATCTCCAAAACAAATTGTTATTTCGCTGTGGTCAGCAAGAGGACCAGATTGGAAATACGGAGTTTAGACTCCATTCCACAAAAGTGTGTTTAATAAAGACTGAATTAATGGAAGTAGGATTAAGAGAATGAAAGTGTCTTGAATTTCAGAGTTGGTTTTAAGATGGTCTCCACAACACTAAATGATACATGCCTCTGATTATATACATTGAGTCCTCATTACCCATCACAAAGAAAAACTTTCGACATTTAATTTTGTAGGCTTGCCATATATTATCTGAATGCTGTGGCTGCAGCATACCAACATGCCAATGCAGAGCTGAAGAGGAAAATGCTAATGGTACGATGTCTGCATTTCATCAAATTACTTTGCTAAATTATGTCATATTGGGGGGGTGAGGTCAGTCATAGGCTATTTGTATTACATATAATTTTTTTCTTGTTGTTGAAGCTTCTGGTTGGTAGGCTCTCACATGAGTTCTAGGCAACTTACAATTATTTGCAATATTATTAGGTTTATATTATTTTTGAAAGTATAGCAGCACATTGCATTTTTGTAAAAGTATATATACTTCATGCCTACCTAAATATTTAAATGGTAAATTACAATGAATGCCAAATATGCTGAATCAAAAACAGTTTTGGTTTCAATATCCAGCTCAGCTCATACCTGAAAATAGTATGAACCAAAAGAGCTGGCAGTAAGCAAGTCAAATGGCAAATGCCAAAAGGCCAGCTATATCAAATAAGTGAAATATGGCAGCCAGCCCTAGAGCTTTCAAAGATCCTTCTCCAATATTCCTGCCTAATACCTCCAAAATGGCAGGGGCCTATCTGTCTGTTCTTTTCTACATCTTTTCTAAATAGTAGTAGGGAAGCATAACCTCAGACTGATAGATGTGGCAGTGAAGCTTTCACATGGTCAAACAGAAGTTCAAATAGTGCCCAAATACCAATTTTTAAAATATCCTGATTATAATAAAGGCACTGGTCTCATCTTCAGTCTTAGTTCTACCTAAATTAGAACCTGTTGACTTTTCAAATTATTTTAATCTTTTTTTCTCATGCCCAATACATTTTTTCTGCATAGCAACGTGAAGATGAGAAAAACAAGAAGAATAACAAAGCATCCACCAACCCTGCAATGCAGGATCTAGAAGATTTGCTTGTCCCATGTGCAAAGTCCATGGAAAAGTCCAAACCAGGGGAAGGTAAGAACTGCCCATTCATACTTCAGTAAGCTGTATGAGGCTACAGTAGTTACTAATTAATCTCTTACTACTAATTAAACTCATTTTACCCTTCTTCCAACAGCAACCCTAGTGATATAATTTCCTGATAAGTAGCTGTGTTAATCTGTCTCAAAATATTGGCAAAAGAGAGGGAAAAAAGAAAGGCAGGGGAACAAAATACTGTTATCACTTTTCAGTGTTGTAGTGAGAGAAAGAACCTGTCTTTCTCCTCATATCACAGGACTATCATGTGGGGAGTGAAAGCCAACAGTATGAATGCAATAGATCAATGGTTCTTAACCTTTTTGAAAGAAACGCCCCCTTGAACCATTGAGGAAGTTATCATTGCCCCCCTCCCCACGGCGATATCTTATTTATTTATTTATTTATTTATTTATTTATTTATTTATTTAT